TTTCGTACTCTTTTCTGAAGTGACTTGGGATTGGTCTGTTGAGAACTGGTTTCTACTTTCTAGTGTTGTGTGTGCCTTTGTGAATGTCTGTGACAGTATCGACTCTATTGCGCTGTCAAGTTGTGAATAGTCAAAGCGAGTAAGTTGTGGTTAGTACTGCTTATTACTAATGTTTTTTTTTTCTTTTTCTTCGGTCCGGACATTTTTGTGTCTGCTGTACCGGTCCGGACGGTCCGGGTCCGGTCATGTCCGGTTGTCCGGTGCCTGTCCGGATTACCGGACGTCTGGACCAGTCCAGACATGTCCGGGTCCGGGTCCGCGGTTGCCATGCTTTAAAATGCTCATTAACCGCCGATACATCCGCATGCTAATTGATAGTGGTTCAACCACTAATTTCTTTTCTCCTAACGGGATTCGTAAGGCGGGCCTGGGAATGAAGCAAGTGGAACTGCAGAACTCTTGTCAGACCCAGGTGGGCAACCAAGAGGTTGTCACCTCCACACATGCTGTCAAAGGTGTGCGCGTCACCTTTGACAAGGACCGCACTGTCACTCATGAGCTCAACTTTTATGTCATGGACAAGTGTCCGTTCGACGCGGTCATTGGCTTGGGCTGGTTAAAGGCTCATTGCCTAAGGACCACGTGGGCGGACAATCAGTTCGTGGTGCGTGATGCCAAGGGGAACAAGCGTACCATTCTATTGGACGAGACGCGCGAGTCCCCTGTGACTCTTCTAAGTGCAAACAAATTCTGCAAATCAATGCGCAGACGCAAGGAAGTGGAGCATGTACATGTAACTTTTGTAAAGCCTCTCCATGTGCCTTCTACTTTTGCTGCATTTTCTACCTCGGCAAGCAACTCTACTTCTACCACCTCTACTTCTATTCCATCTACTTCTACTGTGAATAATCCCTCTACTTTTGATCCAAGTACTTCAAATCCAGTTGTAATTGCTGTAAATTCGCAATCTGATTTTCTTTCTCCTAATGAGGATGGTCCTCCACCAGAAGTCCCAACAAACATTCACCGGCTATTAGATCGATTCCTTGAAATTCTCGCCGAACCTCGTTTAGTTCCCGAGCGTCCGGTCAAACACAAGATCGAGATAATAGAAGGGAGTGTTCCTCCAAAGAGCTACGTCTACCGTATGGGACAAGGCGAGTTGGAGGAGTTGAGGAGGCAGATTGATGACATGATCGTCCGTGGATGGATTAGGCCTAGTGAGTTTGAGTTCGGTGCACATGTCCTGTTTGTGCCAAAGAAAGGAGGCAAACTCCGGATGTGTATTGACTATCGTGGCCTCAATCGAATCACCAAAAAGAACGCTTACCCTTTGCCTCGCATAGATGATCTGCTAGATGCGGCAGGTGGGTGCAAGGTCTTCTCCAAGATCAACCTCAAGTCAAGTTACCACCAGATTGAAGTTGATCCGAGTGACCAGCACAAAACGACATTCAAAACACGCGATCGGCTATACGAATTCATCGTTATGCCCTTCGATCTTACGAATGCACCAGCCACATTTCAGTGCCTCACGGACAAGGTACTCCGCCATCAGCTCAACAGGTTTGTGGTTGTGTACCTTGACGATATCCTGATCTTCAGCAAGTCCATGAAAGAGCACGTCAAGCACATTGAGGAGGTCTTGCAAGTCCTCAAGGACGCACAACTGCACCTCAACTCAGAGTCTGAGTTTGGAAGAGACAGCGTCATCTATCTTGGGCACCGGTTGTCTGCAAAAGGCCTTGAGCCGGAGGCAACCAAGGTTGAGGTCATCCGAAAGTGGCCTCAACCAGCGAAGGTACGCGAAATGTGTACTTTTCTTGGTTTGGCCTCATATTACCGGAAGTTTGTGCCCAAATTTTATGTCATTGCTCACCCACTCTCAAGATTAACAAGTAAGAATATTGCATATGCGTGGTGTGAGAAGAGTGAGACTGCGTTCCAAGCCTTGAAAGAGGCATTGGTGAGTCATCCTGTGCCCCGCATTGCGGATCCCAACCTCACATTCGTAGTCACTACGGACGCGAGCCAGTTTGGGATTGACGCAGTGATGCAACAAGATGATGGTGATGGCTTGCGTCCGCTCGAGTATTACAACAAACGCATGCCCAGCCACAAGGTAGCTACTTCCACGTATATGCGTGAGCTCTACGCCTTGCGCGAGGCGCTCACACATTGGAAGCACTACCTCCTGGGTCATCACTTCAAGGTCTACTCAAATCATCAGACCTTGCAGTGGATCAAGACACAAACTGATCTCTCTCCTACACTAACCCGTTGGTTGCATGACATTGATGTCTATAATTTTCAGTTGAAACACAAGAAAGGCTGTTATAACCGTGTTGTTGATGCTCTCTCACGCCATCCTGAGTTTTTGACTTGCCTTGTGGGTTCGTATGACCTCCGAAGGAAACTGAAGGAGGATCTGGTCGAACACACCGCCAAGGATCCGGACCTTAGTCCCATCCTTGAGCAGCTCAAGGCTGACCCTAACAGTCATCCTGATTTTCATGAGTGCGAGGGTCTTGTATTCCGCCGGTATGGGAAATTTGATTGTTTGTGTGTACCCAACCATGCGCCTCTCCGAACTCATTTGTTGGATTTGGCACATGGTCGGAGTGGACATTTCGGCTTTGAGAAGACTCATGGAAGTCTTCTGCAGCAGTTTGATTGGCCGGGAATGAAGGGATCTGCTTAGAAGTTCATTGCTGAATGTCAAGTATCTCAAAGAACCAAGGTCCACAGGCATAAGCCTTATGGCCTGCTGAGACCCCTCCCCATTCCTGATGGTCCCGGTGAGTCGATTTCCATCGACTTCACGGACATGGGAAAGGTGAGTGAGGCAGGGAATTCACAAGTCATGGTTATCGTGGACCGTTTTTCCAAATTTCTGAACTTGATACCTTTCCCTCCCCATGCCCCGACTGAGCTTGTCATCGAAGAATTTCAWCAGCAATACATTCTGCAGTTTGGCCACCCGAAAACTATTGTGAGTGATCGGGACACCAGGTTCATTAGTAAAGATTGGAAGCACTTCACTTCTCAGATCTACGACATTAAACTGAACAAGACTTCTGTTCGACACCCCGAAGCCAATGGATTGGCTGAGGAAGTCAACCAGACTGTCATCCAACTACTTCGCGTGATAATTGTTCCAGATCAGAACACATGGGACAAGGAGTTACACAAAGTGAAGGGGTTGTACAACAACTCCATTCACTCTGCAACAGGTGTGACACCGAATCAGTTGCAATACGGATGGCACCTGCGCAATCCTCTCTCCTATCTGTTCCCCGAACGATCACCTGGTCTGACGCCCGGCATGCCTGGCTACAATGCCAAGTATGCACGCTTGCTCAAAGTTGTTATCGCAACAATGAACAAGTGTCCGCATGTCATGATCAAACATGCTAACAAGTCGCACAAAGAATCGAACTTCAAAGTAGGGGATTATGTCTAGGTCAAAATGTCTAAGTTTTCTGATGAAGAGGGCGTATCACGAAAGCTTCTTCCATTGTACTATAGCCCTTGGCAGGTTCTGAAAGTGATTGGGGATGATTTTGGTCCTTCATATGTGATTGACGTGCCTCCTCATCTGCGGAAGACCGGATACGTGCGCAGATGAGGAGGCACGTGTCCAAACTGTTCCCACACATTGATGATGAGACATTTCCCTTCCGAGACCCTATGATACCTCGCTCTATCGACGGCGGCCATGAGACAGAATGAATCATTTCTCACGAGGGAAGAGGGAGGAACAGACAGTACAAGGTTCACTTCCTCTATCACCCGTTGACTGAATTCTTCTGGATCGATCGAAAAGAGCTGCTAAAGAATGCTCCCCGTGTTGTGAACGCTTATGAGCGACAGATCGCTGAGGGACATACTGCTAAGTTTGTTGCAAAAATGACTCCTCACGGACTTACTAAGTCTCTCTTTCTGATTTATGGGATTTGCCACTGGAATGAATGCCTTGCTGTGCTTCCCGCATTCTGCTGTGGTTTCCAAGTCTGTGTGTGTGCGTGCCTGCTGGTTTGCATGCCTGTCTGAGTGCTGGCCGGTTGAGTGTGTGTGTGACCCGCACGGGTACTTGTTGGTTGTAAGGCCCCGCAGGGCCGGTACTTACCTGTGGCCGTGACTTTGAGGGTTGCAGGGGGGGTAAACACTCAACTAGCGGTGTCGTACCAAATACCCTTACAAGGGTATTTGGCGTGTTTTCTGCAAGTCACGCCAGTACCGCCTCGCGCGTCTGATAACGCGTGCGGGGTATTGGCGGCAAGGCGCAGCCATGCGCAGCTTAGGTGGATGCGGCGTCACAGGCTAGTGGGGTGCGCGACGTCCGTTCTCGGTTCTCATTATTTATTATTTATTTATTTATTTATTTCTATTTGTTTTTGCCCCGGTTGTCGGTCCTGAGGGCATCGTCGGACATGGATGGTCGTCACGGTAGTCGAGGACCTTGAGCACAGGTTTTTTGTGGGTTGCTCGGGTTCCTGCATGTCCAAGATGGTAGTAAAAGCCGTCCATTCCGTCTGTCTTTAAAAGACAGACCGAGGAGTCCAATGTGCGTGCGAGCCAGTGGGAAAATTAGCCCACGAGGCGGAGGAGACTGTGGGGCAGCGTGGGCCTGCGACGGGTGCCCGACCCACCGACCGCGACCTGCTGTGAGAGGTTTGAGTGTGAGCATGCCCGATTGAGAGCCGACGAGTGGCAAACGGGGCTTTGGTACTAGCGGGAGGGGCTGCCTCAGGACTGGTTGAATGGCAAGGTTATCCGAGCGCTGGCTTCGTGGGACAGCCGGTTCCTTGGCTTCAGAGTCCCATTTGAAGGACTGTACTAGCACCAAGGTCTGCACCAGGGCTTGCCTCATCGTGGTCCGGGCTGCAGGCCATACAGCTTGGCATGGGCGGTGAGGAGGAGTGAATAGCGAAGTGCTAGATGCGGGGAGGACAGTGGAACGAACCCTATTGGGCCTCGGCGCCGGATGCATGCGCAGGCAGCGGGTAGGTAGTGCAGCAGGGCGGTGTGCTAGTGAGAGGGGCTGTCGGGCAGAGGAAAAAGGGAAGGCATGTTCCCTTTGCGCCGCGTGCACAAGTGGAGGCTTTCGGTCCGTCCTAACACACGGGAGGCGGGGTACATCCGTTTCGCCCCTGACTCACGGGTATCAGCACTGAGAAGAGACGGTGCACTTCGACTCGATACGTTTTGGGCGGGCGGGGGCTTCCGGCTGTAAGCCGACGCGGTCGGTGGTTCATTTGTGCGCGCCGTTGTTCGGAGAGTATGGTCGTTTGGCGATCTCGCGGAGGCCGTCTACTGCCAAGCGAGTAGGCAGGCAGTGCTAGGCAGCAGCGGGCAGGGAGAGCGGCCAGCAGCAAGGCAAGGACCAGCGGGCAGTGAGGCGGAGAGTGACGGGAGGGGCAGGCAAAAAGAACGAGAGAGAAAACTGGGAAACTGAATGAATCTGGACGGGTTTCTGTGGCAGGAACAGGCTCAGAGGTAGACATGGCGCAGACAACGGGCGGATCGAAAGGGGGGTATCCCTCTCGTTTCTTGATGAAAACGAGTAGGGAAAGAGTCTAGATGGGTTTTTTTTGGTAAGGCGAACGTGGGGGTGAAGTCGGAATAGTGGAAGATCGGTCGGAATAGGAGATAGCAGAAGATTGAGATACGGGGAAGAACCGGAGGAGAAGCTATGGAGGGAGTAATAGATGTGTGATCCGCTCGTTTCTTAGTGAAGACCAGCGGAGAAAAGTGGTAAACTTGGGTTTTTGGGTAATGCGAGTTTGTTGGTGTTGTTAGTTTTTGCGTTAGTTGGGTAGAGAAAGAGGTAGATCGGGGAAGGCATGCGTGGAGCTATAGAAGAGAGAGACGTAACGAGGGAAAGAAAGGGGTATCTCACTCGTTTCTCAGCGAAAACGAGTGAGGGAAGAGAGTAAGTTGGGGTTCTGAAGCAGTTCGGGAACGATGGCCATGGCGGATTCTGAGTTTGGCCAATAGTTCGGCCGTTAGGGGCTGAAAGAGTTGCATGAAGGAAAAAAGGGGCAATGTATTTGCCCATGTTCTCGTAGAAAATTCATTCTCATTTTGCACATTTGGTGAAGTGGTGCAGCGGAGCACGCTACTACCGTCGCCGTGATCATCCTCAACGCCGCTCTCGTTCGCCATTTTGTCCGTTGTAGGGCCAAACCCTGGTAGACTTTCGAGCCTTAGTCGACCCCACTGCGGGTCCCAGTCGGCTCGGCCCGCCCACACTCATGCTCAAGGCGCGGGCCATTCGTCCTAGAGTCACCCCCACCTAGTGCTTTGAGATGGATGGGGGTGGGCCATCGCGCGAGAGGGCTTTGACATTGGGGATGTAGCTCAGCCCTCACGGCGGGTGGTAGTCTCGCTGGTCCTTCCGTAGCGCTGATTTTTTTTTCGATTCTTTGTTGTGTTCTCAAGCAATTGCTCCTTCCAATACGCAGGCATTCCAGGGGTTCTTTGAGAGTTCTCTTCTTTTGTGAGCAGGTTAATCGTCATCCTTCGGCCGCACACCATTTCCCTAAACTTTGTGTTCGTACGACGTCATTGGGGTGCAGCGAAGCCGTCCTTCCCCTCGCCTCTATGCACCCCTCGTGTCTCATAATTCACATTCAACTTATTGAAACAGGCCCCTTAGTCTTTTCGGGGCCTTTACATGCATGCACACATACCATCGTCTTTCCCTTGGCAAGATTGCACTTCGTTTTTCTCATCTATCCTCCAAATCCTAAAAGCAAGAGTCTTTTTCATGGGTTGGTTTTAAGCTAGGGTCCCATAGCCCCTTTGTCCCTCTTCCCTTTCCCTCTTGGTGCCCAGTTCCTTCCGACCCCATCCCGCTTAAGGCATCCTTAGCCCTCACTTACCTGCACAATCCCACACAAGGCAAAGATCCATACAAATCCCCCTGTTAGGGGTCAACACATAGCCCTTCCCACATGCGTATCTTTTTCGTGCTCTTTGGTTGTGCTTTGTTCCCTTTCCTTGCTCAATCAACTCATCCTCTTCTCATAGTCATGCAGTCGGGGAGATCGTTGAGTCAAACTAACCTTGCTTACTATTTCACTTTCTCTCAATCTCGTCCTTTCTCACTCTCCCAACGTCCTTTTCCTTTGCCTCCTTGGTGGCACAAGGGACCGGCTACCCTCCCCTTGCCCTCTTTCTCCACCAAGTGAGGTCTGATCTCTTCTTACTGTTTGCACCCTGACAATGTACCAAATGAGTGGAGAAGGGCTAGTCATATGCCAAGTGAGGGGAAGAGTGACAGGGAAGCAAAGTGAACGAGGAGAGGAGTGGTGGAGGGGGAGGAGAGAGAGAGAGTGAGAAATAGAGAGAGAGAGAGAGAGAGAGAGAGAGAGAGAGAGAGAGAGAGAGAGAGAGAGAGAGAGAGAGAGAGAGAGAGAGAGAGAG